CAGACAACCCCGTAACAATATGCGTTTTGTACTGCTGTTACACAGCACAAAACGCATAAAAAGGTGCGAATGCCCAAACAGCGTTAAAAGAACATAACGAAGGTCGAAAGTACAGAGAGGAAACCGTTTTCAACGGCTTTAAAGAATTGTTGGTGAAGGAGGCCTAAACTAGATGTGAACGGCGAAAATGAAAGGGTGGATCATAAGTGTGAAGAAACGTAATGATGTAACAAAAGTTGTTCAAAACATAGCACGGTAGCGACAACTAAAATTCCCCATGAATATTTTGCCAAAAAAAGTACTTTTATGAAAATGTTACTTTTTTCTCCGCTGAGGACCACTTAAGTTCTTCGCCCATAATATCAACAACCTTATCGAGTACTTCATAAGCTGCGTATGTATTTAAAAATGCTAGACGTAAGCGCCGTGCAATGACATCCACAGCCGTACAGGCATACTCTTTCACCGCGTATTTGACCTGAACAGTGTATTTCTTGTAACAATGACAATGATAATAATAACAGTGGGGATAATAAAACAATGATAAAAATAAAGATATTAAATTACAATAACAAATAACGACGCAAACCAGAGTAGCCGATACGACCGTGCGTTTTGCACAGTTCCGTCCTGCGTACGTTTGCCTGCTAAAAATATAACTGTTTTACATTTTCCTGTATGGAAAAGTAGTCGATTTGCTGTCTGAACCCTAAGCTGGGGAATTTTCTACAAAAGATATCACGCACCAGCACAATAAAGCTGAATCTGAAACCCTGCACAAGAAACATCCTCCCGAATTTTGACCTCCCAATTTTCCGGCTTCCGAGCCAACGATTTTCGCATCAGAACTCTCATGTGGTCGTATATAAGATCTCGGTGTAATTGGAAGCTGAATACGAGTGAGGTACCTGCACAGGCGGAAAACATCCCCCTGAAATTTCGGCCCCCTTTTTTGGTCTCCAAGATAATAATTTTCCCTATCAAAACTTTCGCGGGGCTGCACAGAGACCCGGGCGTACACGAAAGCTGAATTTGATTCTGCGAAGTCGCATTCTCCCATAATTTCAATTGCTTATTTTTTATGGCTTCCAAGACAGTAATTTTTCCCTCCGAGACTTTATGTGGGGGTATCTGAGACCCAGGCTTGCCTGAAAATTGATTTCGAATTTATGGTCGCACTGGGCAGGAAATATCCTCGTTAAATTTCGGATTTCTAACATGAATGGTTTCAGGGATAATAATCTTCCCACTAAACTTTCACGGGGCCATACGTGATATCCAAGCATACGGGAAGGTTAAAGTTTAAATTTTACAGGTCACATGTGGGCAGGGGAAATACCCATAAAGCTTCAGCTTTCTAGCTCCCGTGGTTCCCGAGATAATAATTTTCCTCACCAAAACTTTTGCGGGACCATGCGTGTTACCCCGCAAAAGTTACCCATGGGAACGGAAAGGCTGAATTTAAATTTGCGGAGTTGTACGTGGGCAGGGAGCACTCTACTAAAAATTCAGTCGCCTGGCTTTTGTGGTTCCCGACTTGAGAATGCGGGACAAAACGCACTCGGACACACACAAACAAATACACGAGCAGACAACCCAATAATAATATGCTGCTGATACACAGCGCAAAACGCTTAATAAAGTGGAGACAACGCATGTAAATAAACACGAGCATGGAGAAATTTTGGCAAAGTAAATTCAGACAACGGCCTCATCGCCTCCAAAAATCTCCTGCGGGGTCATCCGTTTTCGCGCTAAACTTGAAGCAATCAGATCGTAAAAGCATGAATGCTTGTTGCTATATAGATTAACATAAATACTCATGTTGGCCATATTCTGATCTTTTCTTGTAGGTAAAAAAAAAGTGGTGTTAACTGGAGCATAAAATCCTAACCTTCAGCGTGCATGATTACTGTAAATCTTGCATAAAAAGAAATGAAAAGTTTTTGTCACCGATCGTTCAATGAATATGAAAACTGACAATGAAGAGGAAGCAAAGAAGAGGATGACGAAATGTAAGCTAAATGCATTCGTTTCTGAAGCTGGGATAGAACTGGGCGTGCGGGTCAACTGATTATAAAGTCTTCAGATTGCATGTAAACTACGTTGTCTCGAAATTGCTTCTAGCCATGTTTTCTTCTGGGCGCTCAAACGTGACAGACATGGGTACTTTAGTGCTGATTTCAGATCGTAAGGATGAGACAAGGAATGGGACACACTCGCAAAATTTCTGCTTCCTGGCTTCGCTGACCCCGAAGTTTAAAGTGGGTAACAAATTTCACTCGCCCACACACACACACACACACATATACGTATGCATAAACGCGCACACGCAACACACGCATACACAACATCGTCAACCTCTTAATAATGTAAGTTCTGTGCCGCAGCAGCTAC